TATCTGATTTAGAACGAGCAGAAATCTGTGAGAAATATAACGACTTAAAGACAAAATAACTGATAAAAAAAGCTGTTATAGGAGCAATAGCCATGTGGGCAGCACTGTCATATGCCATAGCTGTGCACAAGCTGTTTATCACAGCTCCAGACTTATTTGTTCATTAATGACGTCATCAGCGACTAGTCGACTTCGACTCGACTTTCATCACATAAAAGTCGACTTCAAAGAATCAGAAGTCGTTCAACCCCTACTCTCTACTTAAACGTAGGTCGTGCACATCTGCCATGTTTGTAGTTTTTTTTTACGCTTTTCGTGTAGAAGTTTTCATGTAGTTCTGACACGAACTACACTCCAGTATTTATACATTTCTGTTAGTGCTAGTAAATAAAAACTCATCAAACTTCATTGTTCATGTTAGCTCAGGTCCATTACATAATATACAACATTTGATTTTAATCATGTATTAATAAATGTTGACATTACCATTAACTACGAATAAATGATTCAGAAGTCTTTTTCATTGGTAGTTTAACTGATGATTTTGACAAATGTAACATTATTGTAAAGTGTCAGCATTCCAAGTAATACATTTTAGTTCATTAACATTTCTTTTATTTCATGTCACATTTTTTTGCTGATTTCAGTTGATTGTTTATTCGTCACACGCAGATTGATACTCACACTTGTGTTTCTATAGCACTCATGTTCCTTGGGTCGCAGAATTTTAGGCCGGTGAACTCATTGATTTCCAAAGCCTGGAAGAACATTCATCATCATCAGCCACAAATAAACATTGTTATCTGTTCTGCATTTAACAAAACAGAAAACAGTGTGTTTCATTCTAAGTATCAAGGTTATTATACTTCACTAAAACCATAAACACTAAACTACTAACAAACATAAACAAGTTATATTGTGAATATATAAATCATATATAAAATTTATCTCAATAAGTGGACTTCAGGAGAAGAACTTGATGCAGATAAAGACTCACAGCGAGACCGTAACGAGGAATACTGAGATACTTTAACCAGTTCAACCAGTCAGCGACACTGGGGAGATTCACCAGCAGCCCTGAGAAGATCTGAACACACGGAGAAATATTAACCACTAAATTTATATACAAATACAGAAACGTACATATAAAATATAGCTGCAAGCAGCAATTAAGTGGCCAAGCAGAGGCAGAATGAGCAGCACACATGGCAGGGAGGATCAGACCAAACGCAACAATGAGTAATTAAAGACACCTTAAGGTGATTTTACTCAAACTGGCTGAAAAATCATGAATTCAATCATTAGTAATATGATATAATGGTTTATCGCTTTTGACCAATAGGTGTCGCTGTTAATAAATTGATGTGGTGTGGTCAGTGTGAGGTGACACAAAGTTTGTAGGTCAAAGATTTGCAGAGATACAGCCTCAGATACAGTTTGGCATCATGACATCAAATTTGTTGATGCGGTAAACCACCGTTTCATCTGTTTCAACTTCTCAAAAATGTCAATTTTCTGCCCACAAGGTGGCACTGCCACGAAACTTTTTGAGTACCATCAGGGCATGGTGACAAAGACATATACCAAGCTTTGAAATGACACGCCAATGCATTTGTAAAATACAGCAATTTTTGTCAAAATTCAATAAGGCCAACACAGAAAATTGGGTACTCTGCATGCTGCTCTGAATGTAAAGACACCAGTCTTGTGAGTTTTGGCCAAACCGTTCAGAACTTATAAGTAAAAATAACTTCATGTTCAAAAATGTTTTTTAGTGGACATGGTCTAAAGATGATATGGTTCAATTTTCAGAAAAAGCAGACAAACGGCCTAGGACGAGTTCCAAAAAGTAGGTTTTTCAAAACATTAAAAATGGCAAAATGACAAAAAATGACTTCATGAGTGCATTCGAATCATCTTCAGCCAAGGAATCAGAGGAAAAAGCATTTTGATTCTAGCCCTTATGTTTCAAAATTTATTAGCATAAACATGAGTGCAACTTTGGACAAGTGGTGATGCTAGAGGGTTTGAGTTAGAGACTCCAAATTTGGTGTGGTTAATGTTCAGACTGTTCTCTATCTGTGTGCCAAATTTCACAACTTTTTACCATACGGTTCTATGGGATACTATAGACTTCCAGAGTGGAAGAAGAAGAAGAACACTAACAGATTCAGTAGGTGCCTGTGCCCCTAATAATACAATCAACAAACATTAATATAAAAGCATCCTACCGAATGAAATGTTGACCCAGGGAGTGGACTGTGCAAGCTTTGGAGGTGTTGATGGAAGCAATCTACTCTATATGTTTTGATCATTGTTCTGAATCCTATCCGGGCTGTCTTCTGTGTGCCAGATTTTACAACTTTTTACCATATGGTTCTATGGACCGTCATAGACTTCCAAAGAGGAGGAGGAGGAGGAGGAAGAAGAAGAACAGGGTGATAGGAAATGGTGTTTGAGAGGAAAAGTCAATACTTTTGTGTGACGTGACTTTTGTGACGTGATATGTGGCCAAGTATGGTGACCCATACTCGGAATTAGTGCTCTGCATTTACCCATCCAAAGTGCACACACACAGCAATGAACACACACACACCGTGAACACACACCCGGAGCAGTGGGCAGCCATTTATGCTGCGGCGCCCGGGGAGCAGTTGGGGGTTCAGTGCCTTGCTCAAGGGCACCTCAGTCGTGGTATTGAAGGTGGGAGAGAGCGCTGTACATTCACTCCCCCCACCTACAATCCCTGCCGGTACGAGACTTGAACCCACAACCTATTGGGTTATGAGTCCGACTCTCTAACCATTAGGCCACGACTTCCCCGGGTGATGGCGGGTGATACTCGGGTGATGGCGACCTCTGGTGACGATCAGGGGGAACCACAGAGGCCGGATTCGTTACAGAGCCCCCTCCCTGCAAGCGGCTCCTGACGTGAGAAGGCAAACGACGCCGGGGTCTTCCGCGAGGACGAGGGGCCGGTTTATCCGGATGGGTCCTGTGGAAGTCAGTGGTAAGTGATGGGTCAAGAATATCCTTGGCTTCGACCCAGGACCTTTCCTCTGGTCCATACCCTCCCAGTCCACGAGATATTGCAGAATTCCTCCCCGACGCCGAGAGTCTAGGATCTCCTGAACCTGATATGCCTCACCGTCGATGATGAGGGGAGGGTGTCCCTAGTTCAGGGCCTCATCTAGGTCATCCGCCCTTCTCGGAGCACCAGCGGCCTTGAGCAAAGAGACATGTAAGGTGGGTGAGATACGATACTGAGGAGGTAAAGCTAAACGGTAAGAAACGGGTTATTTGTTTAATGACTTTGAATGGACCCATGTACCTGGGACTTAGTTTACAGCAGGGTAGTTGGAGCCGAAGATCTCGAGTGGAGAGCCAGACCCATGATCCCGGGACGATCTGCTTGTTCCTTCTGTCTCCTGACAGCACGCTGGAGTTGGGTATGAGCCTCGTTCCAGGTAGTTTCACTCCTCCTGAGCCAGTCATTAACTGCAGGTAAGTCTGTGGGTTCCCCAGCCCAGGGAAAGAGAGGTGGTTGGAATCCAAGTAAGCATTGGAAGGGTGTGAGTCCAGTAGATGGTTTGTGCAGAGGATTTTGTGCATATTCTGCCCAGGAGAGATATCTGCTCCAATCAGCCAGATTGCAGTGACAGTAAGACCTTAGGAAGCGAGTGATTTCTTGATTGAGGCGTTCAGTTTGCCCGTTGGATTCAGGATGGTAGCCAGAAGTAAGACTGATGTTGACGTTGAGGAGTTTGAAAAAAGCTGCCCATACACGACAGGTGAACTGAGGGCCTCTGTCCGAGACAATATCATCGGGAAGTCCATAGAAGCGGAATACATAACTGCATAAAACCTCTGCTGTTTCTAGGGGTGTGGGTAATTTGGGTAATGGTATCAGACGACAGGACTTGGATAAGCGATCAATGACAGTGAGAATGGTGGTATTGCCTTTGGAGTTGGGGAGGTCAGTGATAAAATCTATGGCAATGTGGGACCAGGGTCTCTGAGGAACGGGTAGTGGTTGTAGCAAACCCGCAGGCATCTGCTTAGAGGATTTGGAAGTGTTGAAGGTTACACAATTCTTAATGAATGCAATGATGTCAGTGCGAAGTGAGGGCCACCAGAATTTATTGGAGACAAGTTGGATGGATGCAGTTATTCCCGGATGTCTGGAGCTGGGAAGATCATGAACTTGTTGAATGTGAGGTACGAAGGTCCTGTTGGGTGGACATTCAGCAGGTATTTAGATTAGATTCAACTTTATTGTCATTGCACATGTAAGGTACAAGGCAACGAAATGCAGTTAGCATCTAACCAGAAGTGCAATAAGCAGTAAGTACAGGATATACAGTGTCTACAATATGTTACAAATGTACAATAAATATACAGATAAGGCAGTACTATGGACATAATTTACAGATTTTTAAATACTATCAGCATGATATACAGATAGGTATACTATGAACATACTATACATATGGATTATGTAATAAGTGTATGTACACTATAAGCAGAGGCGGTTTTCACCACCCTCTGCAGTGCCTTGCGCTCGGCAACTGTCAGTTCTCAGTGTCGCCACTCCTCAAAAGCCGCCTTCATTGCCAACAGCTCACGGTTTCCCACTTGATTTAGCTTGCGTGAGAAGTAAGCACAGGGGAAATGTTTGGGTGGACTGCCATTATGTTGGAAAAGGACTGCCACTACACCTGTGCTGGAGGCATCTATCTCTACCACAAACTCACGTTCAGGATCAGGGTGATGCAATATGGGTGCAGTGGAGAAACGTTCTTTGAGGTGGTGAAAAGCTTTGTCAGCTGCTGGTGACCAGGATAAGCGACCTCTCTTCCTCTTAATCATTGGCATTAGAGGGGCTGCGATGGAGCTTAAGTCTCTGATGGAACGTCTATAAAAGTTAGCGAAGCCAAGGAATCTTTGCATCTCTTTGACAGTCGTAGGTCGGGGCCAGTTCAAGACAGCTTGCACTTTATGGTCATCCATCGCCACTCCCTCAGGACTGACTACATATCCCAGGAATGTGGTAGAAGTCTGGTGAAACTCACATTTCTCTGCCTTAGCGTATAACTGATGGGAGATTGAACGTTGTAGAACAGCTCGGACATGGCTAATGTGCGTCTCAAGGGAGTCAGAATAAACTAGAATGTTGTCCATGTAAACGATGAATCTATTGAGCATGTCATGGAATACATCATTCGTGACCATGGACCACAAAACCAGTCATAAGGGTAAATTTTCTGAAATTGAGATTTATAATTGAAATTGAAAATCTGGAATCTGACGGTGCAAAAAAATGAAAATACTGAGAAAATTGCCTTTAAAGTTGTCCAAATGAAGTTCTTAGCAATGCATATTACTAATCAAAAATTAAGTTTTGATATATTTACGGTAGGAAATTTACTAAATATCTTTATGGAACATGATCTTTACTTAATATCCTAATGATTTTTGGCATAAAAGAAAAATCAATAATTTTGACCCATACAACGTTTTTTTGGCTATTGCTAAAAATATACCCAAGCAACTTAAGACTGGTTTTGTGGTCCAGGGTCACACTTATGAATGCTTGAAAGACTGAGGGACTGTTGACAAGCCAGAACAGCATAACCCGGTACTCATAGTGCCCAGATGTGGTAGAGAAAGCCGTCTTCCACTCATCCCCCTCTCTGATGCGAATCAAATTGTAAGCATTGCGCAGATTGAGTTTAGTGAAGTATTTGGCTGAGCGAAGCGGTTCAAGAGCCGGGGGAACCAGAGGTAGGGGGTACTGGAATTTAACAGTTATTTCATTTAAACCTCTATAGTCAATACAAGGCCGAAGACTCCCATCCTTCTTGACAAAGAAGAATCCAGGAGACGCAGGAGACGTGGATGGAATGATGACGCCTTTAGCTAATTCCTCCTCTATATAGGCCTTCATGGATTCAGTCTCTGGTTGTGAAAGGGGAAAGATTCGACCCTTGGGAGGTGTGGTGCCGGGAAGCAGCTCGATGGCACAGTCGCTGGACTGATGTGGGGGTAGTTGGGTAGCTTTGGCCTTGCTGAATGCCTCAGCTAAATCAGCATAGTCTGAGGGAAAGTCAGTTGAGTGTGAGGGATCTATTTTGACGGTGGCTGCTTCAAGTAACATTGGTTCTAGAATCTGAAGACACTGTGTGAAACACTTGGCTGACCAGTGAATGATTTGACCCTCAGTCCATGAGATCTGTGGTTCGTGTAGCTGAAGCCAGGGGAGTCCAAGTACAACTGGGTAAGGGTAAATTTTTTGAAATTGAGATTTATACACCATCTGCTGAATAAAGCTGAATAAAGATCTCTTTCCTCTGGAGAGATGCGTGTGTGTCCCACTTGCATAGCTTCTTGTTCAGGAACAACTGGAGGGCTTGGTGAATGGAACGTTTAACCCCTGCTGGGTCTCCTAGAACGAATCAGATTGTCGATGCGAATGGCGAGATCATTTAGTTGATCCAAAGTTTTTCCCTCGCCTCGACAAGCGAGTTCAGCCTGTACCTCCAGATTCAGTCCCTTACGAAAATGCAGATTTAAGGGATCGTCTGACCATCCAGTTTGTGCATCCAGTGTGTGAAATGTCAGAGCAAACTCTGCTGCCGTACTTTTCCCCTGTTGCAACGTGAGAATCTGTTCACCCGCTCCATCTCCTCCTTCGGGGAGATCAAACACCTCTCGAAAGAGCCGCAAAAAAACTCTCAAACGAGGGAAAGGCTGGTCGGTTGAAACTCCAGATGGCGGTGGCCCAGTCTAATGCTTTGCCAGTCAAGAGAGAGCATACAAAAGCAATGCGACTTTCTTCTGTGAGGTATAACACAGGTTGTTGAGAGACAAACAAGGAGCATTGTAGCAAAAATCCCTTACATTTAACTGGTGTGCCGTCAAATTTCCCCGGGTAGGCTAAGCGGGGACTGGCCGTGGAGTGACTCAGAGGAGGTACTTGGGGTACCTGTATATATATGTATGTATGTATGTATATAGTTCGCTATTACTTAAAAAAAAAAAAGTTTTTTAATTTTATTATTTTCTTGTTTTAATGAATACATCTAAATTTGAAATTAACTCACTAATATCCTTTAAAATTTCCATTCCCTCACCCTTCTGTTTTCAGTTCATTTCACTCTATTCTACATTAGTTTGGTGAAAGAAAGATTACACCTAAATGATTAATAATTAAATAATTACAGTATTTGCGGGCAGTGTGGGGGCTGTCATGGTCTAATGGTTAGAAAGTCGGGCTTGTAACTTGAAGGTTGCCGGTTCAATTCTCGCATTCTCGTGTGTGTTGGTTCACTACTCACTGCTGTGTGTGTGCACTTGGATGGGTTAAATGCAGAGCACCAATTTCGAGTATGGGTCACCATACTTGAAAATATGTCATGACTTTCACTTCACTTTTTTATAAAAACCCTTAACCATGGTACACTTACAACCACATGTGGTATTATATTGCTTTATTATTCCTGTTTAAATGTGTATGTGTGTTTCTTTACCATCATAAAGACAAAGCTGATGGTCATGAAGATGTTAGCGATGGCCACCACCGTCTGATCAGCGGAGATGGCCAGAGTCATGGACGTGGCTGTGTACGACACCAGAACGATAGAGAACAGGAAGATGAAGAAGGCCTCGGCCGATGCCTTCAGTCCTGCACAGGAAACACAAACACATCAAGCAACATGTCTGATATCAGACGGACATGAATGACGTGATGATGAAGGCAATGTGTGTCTGACCGATCATAAAGTACGTCACGCAGCTGAAGATGATGGCCGGGATGGTGCGCAGAGTCAGGATGTCAGACAGGATCTTAGACAAGAAGTACACCGAGACTCTGTAGTATCCGCTGATGTACTCATGCCTGAGGACACGCCCACCATAACAACATCATCAATCAATCAATCAATCAATCAAATATTCTAATTGCAATCAATTCCCAAGATAACTGCACAGAAAATATCAGAAGCCAAATTCACCAAACATTCTTTAGAATTAAATTATTATTTTCTTCTTACTATTTTCTTACTTTGGAAAAAAAGTTTAAGAATATGTTGTATTCCCAAAAATTACTTTTCAAAACAAAACTTAACAAGAATTAAAATTCTTGAAACGAATCTTCTTAAAATCATCACAGATGACCTCTTAACCCTCTGGTGCTCTTTAGCCATTTTTGACTTCATTGGAATTGTACGAAACTTGGTAAAGATTTTGCACTTGCTATGTGAACACAGAAAACCCCAAAATGAATTAATGTACATGATTCGAAAAGGTTAAATGGTTCTGAAAAAAAATTGTCACACTTGTACTGTTAACGGTCAAAAATCACCACATTACAGGGGACAGACCGGGAAGTAAATTTCATCTAGTGGAAACATTTGGTATTGCGCCTAAAAATCTTACAGAAAGCTACATTTTTGCAATATCAACAACAAATTTGGAGCACAACTAGTGCTGGGCGGTATACCGGTTCATACCGAATACCGGTGTTTATTTTTGTTATGATATGAATTTTTAAAACACCGCAATACCGGTGTATGTCGCTTAATTAAACAACGTTCGGAACGCGACACTGTTTGAAAGAAGTCCCTTTTCACTGTTGCACTGTGGTGAGGGAACAGCTGTATGTGTTACTAAGCGTGAAAGTTCCGAAACTGAAGCTGTAGAACTAATAGAACGTCATGACACAGAAGAACTCATCCACAATATCCACATTGACCTCCACAAATATACACCGCCCCCTGCCATCAGCTCCCGCGTCTCACACACACGAGGGCGACTTTAGCATTAGATTTAGCAACTTTCAGACCCCCGGTATAATTTTGAAAAATACGTTGTATACATTTTTGGTCATACCGCCCAGCACTAAGCTCAACTTTAGATTTATGGCTTTGATTTTCACTGGTACTGTTCAAATTCAAAACTAACCGAATTGGAAATGAATGGGATTGTATTGCGCACAAACAAAATCCTAATAATGTAAATTTTTTTGTGATATCTACCTCAAATTTGGAGCACAACTTGTTTAGAGTTATGGCTTTGATTAAAACAGTTTTAGATTGAAACATGTTTCGGAAAATAAATATTTTATATAGATTTTGTATTTTTGTGCACTTTTAAAACAATACACAAACTTGCATAATTTTTTTAAATTTCACTTTTTTAACTTTTAAAAAGTCAAGTTTTTAAAAGTTAAGTTGAAGTGACACCAATAAGTGTTGTAAACAGTGATCAATCATGATTATGTATGATGCAACTTTTGGGGAACTTCCAAATTTAGTACCAACTCTACAAAAAACAGTCAAATACGGGGAAAAATTAAGATGTTCTTAAGAATTAGGATTAGGATTTTGTTTGTGCGCAATACAATCCCATTCATTTCCAATTCGGTTAGTTTTGAATTTGAGCAGTATTGAACACATTTGAACATATTTGAAAACTTCCTGAGAAATATTGCAATTATTTGCTTTTACATTATATATACACTGTTATTCTGTTTTAAATGTGATATGATAAACATTTAATCTTATGAATAATAAGCCACTCAATTTGAATAATAGTAGTTATACCTTCTCAGATATGTCATTTTTTGTTTTTATTTTTATACATTTTATATTATACTACTTTTAACTGTAAATAATCAGAATCAGAATCAGAATGAGCTTTATTGCCAGGTATGGATCCAGATCGGAGGCAGCAGCTTCAAAAACACTCCAATCAGAGTGTGAGGTCAAAACAAGCTTGTAAATCCTGCTCTGCTTCATTAGT